CCTGAATTTCATACACAGTGGAATCAATGACCTCAAGTTTTCAATTAAATGATGTATTATGATACAACTTGTATGTAGTAAAAAGCATTTTTATGAAACTACTTAGAAAAAAAATCGGGTATAGCTTCTTTAAGTAAGGTATTACCTCTGGATAAGTCTGCAGAGAGAACATCAGGGTCCAAGTCACTGTGTGGTCACCGAACTCTGCAACATGTTGTCCAGCAATGATGCTTATACCACTGAGCTGTGTCTAAACAAGAGGAACAGAAAAATACACATCATCTTCACCAGCCATACCCAAATTGAGGTCTGGGGCCTATTGGGGCCCTCTCTGTCTTGATATGTAACAATATACACATTTTCAATGTCATCTAGCCAACATCAGCTCTGCCAACATAGGTTATAAATCATTGTAATGCTCAGGATCTCTGTAATCATGTTGTTTCTGTGATGAAGAGATGGCTATAATCTCACAAGTCAAATCATTATCACACATGTGCATAGGATGGACTGTGAAATATGAAGAAAAAGCGTAATATGGAACCTTTAAAACTATGCCTTTGGACTGTGATGATGCTTTGACCTACTTAAGATAATATAAGAATTCCTTTATTTGTCCCTCAGTGGGGACGAATACTTCTTTTATTAGCTATTGTAAAACAATGGGACTTATTTCTTTTAACAAACAGCCATAAATAAGCTAACCTCAAAAGAGGACTCCTGATGTCCCGCTGCAGGACTCGACTCTCTGGTTCCTCTCATAGTTTTTCAAACAGTAAATTACTTCTGTCCTCTTAACATTCACAAAACATTTCCCAAGTCATCAAGTTTGAAGCAGTGTTTTGAAGCTCAAATCAAAACTCTCAAGTTAAATCAGTCCTGGTTTAGACAGTGTTGTTGTAACACTGCAGTTCACCTGCATGGCTGTGTACTTACTTACTTACTTACTTACTTACTTGTGGGAGAAATATCCATCCGCTTTTCTTCCCCAGTCAGAGCTGCACCCAGAGCACCAGCCCCTCACTGATCCTCCTGCAGGTGGAGAGTCCAGAGGAGCACATTATGAATGATTAAATTATATTAATTCTAATAGACTATTATAGACCTAATACATGCAGGTTATATAATATACCCTATAGTAATAACATACTATCGCCAAAACAGCCCCTTACCGGGGAAACACATCTCTTTTAAGCTTTAAGGAAACACAGTAGGCCTATTATTTTATTTCTATTAAGAATACAGATGTATATAATTTAATGAAACTAAAACATTTTAATTAACAAGCATTTCCATGCAAATGGAAGGTACTAGTGATTATTATACTATTGTTATTTCATCATCAAGTCATCACATCCCAGTGGAAGCAGATGTTGGAGGTTATGGACTATGTGGGCTAAAAGGGACACTTATAATTTTATGGCATAAGGATTATGCTATGCCCTTTGCCATTAATGGATAATCAAAGCCTATTTGTATGATTTCTGCAAAAAGTGCATCATAATTAAATACCTCAAATGTCTTATCTCTATTGTTCTTATAATTGTAGTCTTCTAACTGGCCTTATAAAAGCAATAGGCATTATGTAGTATGCATAAACAGGGCGTTAGCCACTTAGCTCCGCAGCTATACAGGGCGTTAGCCACTTAGCTCGGCAGCTAATCTAGGATACTTTGTGCTAAACAAACTGTGACCAGCTGTAACTCTTCCCAGTATTGACTCACCACGGCCCTGTCTCCTCTGTGGACAATATAGTTGCTGTAGATTTTCTGAACAAGTGGCTGCAGCACACATTCGCGTTAGCTTTAGCGTTAGCTCTGCTGCTAAACTAGGCTGCTTTGTGCTATGTGGTGACAGTGAAAACTCTCTCCTACCTCCGTGCGGGTGTCTCTCCATGTCCTGTGTCCCTCTGCGCGGCTGCTCCTCTCCTGTCTCCTTTGTGGATGTATAATTACTGCAGAAATGCATAAACTTCCCCTTGACAGAAAAGACGCTCTGTTGTCCTTCCCCACGGAGCATGCGCAGTGCTGACTTTGTGTGTGTGTGTTATCATTTTCCCGCGGTTGTGTATAATTCCCCTTTTTCCCGCGCGGGAGAAACCCACCATAGGGGCAGTGGCGGACACACAAATTTACCACTTTTATCAGGTTTCTGGATTAAAAAAGACTTTTGAGAAAACCACTTTTTAGGCATTAAAAAATGCATAGAAAACGATTTAGAATGTAATTTTTATGAGGACAGCAAATTGTCCTCCTAAACCGGAGGGTCCTCCTTACTCGGAGAAAAGTCTTGAAAAATTGGCCTTGTAAACCAGAAAACACACACACACACACACACACACACACACACACACACACACACACGGCCAGTAAAAGTACTAAACTCAATCTTTTTACTGAGTTGAAAAATTAAGAAACAATGTATGAATACATTTCCTATCTTCATATTTCCTATTATTTCTACTTACTTCTTCCCATTTTACTCCTACAAATAAGTGTGAACCTTTCTTCAACAAAACTAGTATTTTGACAGTGAACCAACGCTACTGAAATTGTGACTTAGCCTGTTTGCTATTCAATGCTCAGATATTATATTTCTGATTTTGTTAGGGACATAAATACAGTTCGGTAATAATCTATTCACAAACTACTATCAACAATAATGGTCAAATTTACTTGTGAAAAGTATTCCCCGAGCCCTGTTTTGAATAGTCCGCCTATTTTGACAGCAACACTCCGCACAATACTCTTTATATGTCTTAAGTGCGTAATGGCCCGGAGACAGGCGCTGACGGAGCAGCAATGATTTTACACTCGTAAAAAATTTACTTTGAAAAAATGTTTAAAAAAAAATATCACATACAACTTATAAGTATCAAAAATAAAAAAATGGTTTTTATGATAATGAAATGTCAGTAAAGCAATTTGGCACAATTGTGCCAAATGGCACAACTTGATGAAAAGGAGAAACTGCCTAAAAACTATAAAACTTAGAGGTCTGAAACTTAGAGAGTTGTTGTCAACAACACAATGGGCCTCATTCACAAATAACTTCGTAAGAAACTTCTTAAATTCCTTCTCAAGTCGTTCTTAAGTAGATTTCTAAGAAGACCCAACACGCTCGTAAGCCTCTGAATCGTTTGCAGCTGTTCTCTCAGATTGATGAATGCCAACTCCTCGTAAGTAGAGCGCGCGTGCCCGGTGCTTCATTAGGCAAGGCAAGGCAAGTTTATTTGTATAGCACAATCATACACAAGGCAACTCAAAGTGCTGAACAAGATAGCATTAAAATCATAATCACAGACCATTAAAAAGAAAGATAAAAATATAAAATCCCTCAGTTGTATGCACAGCTAAACAGCACCGTTTTTAACCTGGTTTTAAACATTGTCAGAGAGGAGGCCTGTCTCACATCTTCAGGAAGATTGTTCCAGATTTTAGCAGCATGAATCTGAAAAGCAGCCTCCCCAACTAACAGGAGTCCAGTCCCTGTGCTCCTCAGAGTCCGGGCTGGTTCGTATGGTACTAACATGTCACTAATATATTTTGGTGCGAGGCCATGGAGAGACTACACAAGCAGAGCTGTTTTAAAGTCTATTCTCTGAACCACAGGAAGCCAATGCAGAGACCTGGGGACCAGACAAATATGGTCGTACTTCCTGGTTCTAGTCAGGACTCAAGCTGCTGCATTTTTAATGTACTGCAGCTGTTTTACAGCCTGTTTGGACAGACCTGTGAGCAGGCCATAGCAGTAGTCTAACCTACTGGAGACAAATGCATGGATAAGAATCTCCAGGTCTGCTTTAGACACTATGTTTTTGATCCTGGCAATGTTTTTTACGTGGTAGAAAGCTGCTGATTTTACTGATTTGATGTGGTTATTAAAATTTAAGTCTGAGTCCAGTATTACCCCTAGATTTCTGACCTTGTTTGAAGGTTTTTAGGGAGAGAGACTGTAGGTGACAGATGACGCTCTCTTTGTTTCTGGGGACCAAAGACAATCATTTCAGTTTTGTTTGCGTTTAGCTGAAGGAAGTTATTTTGCATCCACTCACTGATCTGTTGGATACAGTGAAGGAGTGAGTCCACTGGTCCATGTTCTCCATCAGTCAGTGATACATAGATCTGAGTGTCGTCTGCATAGTTGTGATAGGTCAGTTAATACGCAGAACGAAGCGTCCTAACGGCAGCATGTGAGATTGAACAGAAGAGGTCCCAGGATCGACCCCTGTGGTACTCGCCACGTGGTGAAGTTCAATAACGTGATATGTCAGTGCATATTGATGTATGTATTTATTTATTTAATTGATAATGGTAATTAGAATTCATTTTGAAATGAAATGTGCAAACGCTTTATCAAATACATTGGAAGCACATTCAGACGTGCTAACATGTCGGCACTGAATGTGCTTAAGAGTGCTCTGAGCACTTCTTAGGATTTGTACTTACCAAGAGTAATTCTGGTTCCGAGAAAATTTTGTGAATGCCACAAACTTCGTAAAATCCACGTACGTAGGATTACGCACAAATTTGTTCTTAAGTAAGGTTCGTGAATGAGGCCCATTGAACATAGGGTTTGAATATTGTGACCTTACAATAAAGTATGCCTTTTTTAGGGCCTTTAGAAATTGAAAATTTTAGGCGAGGCTAAAAAACAGTTTTTTTTTCCCAAACTTTCAAAGGATGCAGAGTGAAATAGGAATGACAAACATTATTTTTAGTATATATTTTACATAAACATAGAAGGCTCTAGCTTTAAAATGAAGGCTCATACAAGCATGTGAGAAGTAAGATGTGTTTTTAAATACTGCAAAAGACATTTGAGTATGCCCAACTTTTGTGCACCAAGCCAAAATGAGGCAGATGTTAAGAGGTTAAAGGATTGGCCTTCATTTGCAGAGGAAACTCAAGCTTTGTCAATGCGGTTGTCATCAGAAAAAATGCTACATAGGTACGCACACAGGACTCATACCGTTGGTTAATAAAGGCGGCCGGCCGAGCCTACAGCTGGGCCAGTTTCTTGCGAGTGGGAGAGACATGACGCCTGAAGTCGTTCTCTCCATGGTCGCAGCGCTGGTTCTCCTCGCTCTCCGATAGTTCTGCGATGCAGCCCACCAGGTTACTCCATCTTATCGGTTTCCTCTTCCTTGCAAGGAACAAAGCAGGAGGGTAAAAAGACTGCTTTAACACCACAGTTTGATTTTATGACAAATTACAGCACTTTTTACTCCAGTTTAGTTCTTTCTCAAGATCTGAACTGAATACTGTAGTTTTGAACTTTTTCCTAAGAAAGAAATTAATATTTCAAAAAGATTCTACTGAATTAGTATTTACAATGTTATACCGTTAAGCTTTAAACAAGCTTTTAAAACAAGCAATAAACCAAACAAAATATTCTGTCATTATCTCAATAGAAAATGTTATATCTTTAGTGTGAAGTCGTAGCCGAACGTCAATCACTTCAACTGCCTGCGTCAGCTGTTCAAAATCATAAACAAAACAACCACGTTGCCTCGGACCTATAAAGAAGTCAGAACCAAAAAACAATTCCTTGGTCGTGGATGCAGTCAACCACTTTCCTCAGTTTGAGAAGAGGAGCACCAGCGTGAGCTCGAATGATGCCACCAGAAACAGAGGGTGTTTGTGGAGGTAGCGCTAACAGCGGAGCAGGAATGGATACCCACGGACATCACAGTACAGAGAAAACGTTAAGAAGCTTAAAAGTGACTACTATGAACTGAAAAGATCAAACGCAGAAAGTAGACACAGAACCGAAAAGTTCTGCAGGTGGTTTGAGCCAAATGGATATATAATTACTACAGACATCGGCAAAACAAGCTACACCAGCCAACACAGCTTACACCAGGAGAGAAAGCCTCACTCGCTTTGTCTCAAGATGTTGAGTTTGAGCAGAAATGGTGAGTGTGGCCTTCAATCAAATGCTAAAGGTATCTGGTCTTTATACTGAAAGTGTATCGGTGGTTCTAAAGTCTAAAACAGCTAAACAGTAACAGCGGCTGCATATAAGAAAAAAAAACCACCTAACCCCAAAAAAATTCTAACAAAAGGTTTCTCAGATGATTTTTTTAGTATTAGGTGTCCTTAATAACCTACTAAAAGTTTGCCAAAGTTTGAACCACTAGAAAGGTGTAATTTTCAAGATGGCGCCAAAGGATGGGCAGGAACGCCCTTAACATATCCTAACTCGTTCATTCATTTGGACCTAGCAAGTAATCTTGGTGTCTAACCCATGTTTTTCTGGCGTCTATGCATCCATTGGACCTAAATTGCACTGAGATTATTTCATACTTATGGAATACATGATTTTGTGATATTACTGTAAGGTTTTATCTTTTGCGGGTGAACCATTCTGAAGTCCTTAAAAGCAATTGATAAACATGCCATTTAAAATATTCTCGTAAAGGACGGCCATCTTCCATGGACTAGCTCTGACATAATTCATCTTTTAAAACGTCGAGGACCAAGCTTGGACCTAAATACAGAGAGTTTAAGGGACCCCTACCGACTGGGAGATCTATAGACAACTCAGGAAATCAATCCAAACCCAAACTAGAAATGCCAAGTCCAATCAATATAAGGAAGCCCTCGGTTGAGACTACAATAATCCTAAACAATTTTGAAAACACACCTGGACCCAGCTTCAGGGTAGGTCCAAAAGAAACTAAACTAATCCTGTTACTGTTAATAATTACTACAATTGTGATCATAAACTTAATTTGAATGCTTTAATGGAGTATTTTTCCTCATTTGTAGTACGTAAGTCCTTACTACTACTACTTATGTAAGTAATTAAAGTAAGTAAGTAGTAATCTTTATTTATATACGCTTTTCACTGCCGATCTGAGTCTCAAGCTCTGCTTTGGGGTTCGATGCTTCACCCGCACAGGAATTATCTGGCCAATGAACCCGCAGAGGCTGAGAGGACTAAACCAATGGCGGCTAGTCTGACGGACTCGAGAAAGCTAAACTCAAGGCCTCGCCGCACAAGGTGCTTTGGGGCAGGCCAACATTGGCCAACGCCATCTTCATACACGATTCTAGCGAGTCGATAAAGGACCTCACTGCTGGAAATTCTATCAAACTTGGAAGTCGATTCTTAACGACTGTTTCAATTCAGCTCACAGCCATGGCTGCTAATCCAGCTCAAGCTCCAGACTCTGTCCAGCCGTCTGCTCCTGCGCCACCACCACCTGCTCCAGTCCAGCTCCAATCCGCACAATTCCGTGAGCCCTTCATCCCCACTCCCAACAGATATTCAGGAGAGTTAGGGACATGTAAGCAATTCCTTCACCAGTGCATTTTAGTTTTCACTCAACAGCCCTACACATATTCAACCGAACAGTCCAAGGTAGCCTTTATCATGAGTCTGCTTTCTGGCAAGGCCTCGGCATGGGCAGTAGCGTTAGCTAATGCTAGTTCACCTGTGTGTAACACCTTAGACGCATTTACTGCAGAAATGTTGAAGGTTTTTGATCATCCCCTTCAGGGTAAGGAGGCTAACAACAGGCTTTTGTCTTTGAGTCAGGGTTCTGGGTCAGTATTCACATATTCCATTGAGTTTCGTATTTTAGCTGCAGAATGTGGGTGGGACGATAAGGCATTACAATGCATCTTTTTCCGGGGGCTTAGCGAAGATGTTAAAGACCAACTAGCCGCAAGAGATGAGACTGCATCTCTAGAAGAGCTCATCGCTTTATCTATTTGGCTTGATAACCGCCTCCGTGAGAGACGTAGGGAAAGAACAGTCAGGCACAGTGCCCATGTCCTTCGTCCTCACTCCAGCTCTCCAGTTCACTTCCCAGTGAATTCTGTTCCTCGAGCTACTGCCTTTTCCGGAGAACCCAGAGCCGGGACAACAGAGGAGCCCATGCAGCTCGTAAGGATGCACTTGACCCAAGAGGAGCGCCAGCGTCGTCTCAACCAGGGTCTCTGCATGTACTGTGGTCAAGCTGGTCATGCTCTGTTCAACTGCCCGACTCGGCCAAAAGACCGGGCTCGCCAGCCGCAAGGGGGGCACTGGTGAGCCGTACTCCTGTCGACCCCTCTTCAAAGCGCCTGCAGCTCAAAGGTACTATTTCATGCAGTTCCACTTCAGTTCCGGTTCAGGCTTTAGTAGACTCTGGTGCAGATGATAATTTCATTGAATCTGAGTTTGTGTCCCAGGCCAAAATCCCCGTTGAGGCCCTCTCAGATCCCAAAAGGGTTTTTGCTTTAGATGGAAGGCTACTAGCTCATATTACTCACCGCACTGCTCCGCTATCCCTCTTGGTTTCAGGAAACCATCGTGAGTTAATCTCCCTTTTTGTAGTTGCCTCACCATCTAACCAAATAGTCTTGGGTCTACCCTGGCTCAAGCTTCACAATCCTCACATTGACTGGTCAACCCAATCTGTTTTTAATTGGAGTTTATTCTGCCACTCCCATTGTCTCCATTCAGCCATTCCAGCTATCCCTGAGACTAGTTCTCCCCCAAGGCCTGTGGACCTTTCTCAAGTGCCCCCGGAGTATCATGACATTAAAGAAGTCTTTTCAAAGGATCGTGCAACTTCTTTGCCCCCTCACAGGCCTTATGACTGTTCAATTGAACTGATTCCTGGTGCTCCGTTACCCACTCGTAAACTGTATAATCTCTCTAACCCAGAGAGGCAGGCAATGGAGACCTACATCACTGAGAGCCTAGCTGCTGGACTTATTCGCCCTTCCTCCTCACCTGTAGGGGCAGGTTTCTTTTTTGTTGACAAGGACAAAGCCCTTCGCCCATGTATTGATTTTAGGGGTTTGAATGACATTACGGTAAAGAACAAGTACCCGCTTCCACTCATAGACTCAGCCTTCAGCTCTTTAAGTCACGCTACAGTATTTACTAAACTTGACCTACGTAATGCTTATCATTTGGTTAGGATTAAAGAGGGGGATGAGTGGAAGACGACGTTTAACACTCCTTTGGGACATTTTGAATATTTAGTCATGCCTTTTGGACTTACTAATGCTCCTGCTGTTTTCCAGGCCCTCATTAATGATGTTTTGCGGGATATGCTCAATAGATTTGTGTTTGTCTATCTTGATGACATTTTGATATTTTCTCGCAACATGACTGAACATGTCCAACATGTTAAACTTGTGTTACAAAGGTTATTGGAAAACAGACTTTATGTTAAGGCTGAAAAATGTGAGTTCCACAAGCCTTCTGTTAGTTTTTTGGGTTTCATCATTGAGAAGGGGCAAATTAAATCAGATCCTGCTAAGATAAAGGCAGTAGCTGAGTGGCCTACTCCCACCAACAGGAAGCAACTGCAGAGATTCCTTGGGTTTGCTAATTTTTACCGCAGGTTCATCCGTAATTGCAGTAGTGTGGTCTCTCCGCTCACTAGACTTACCTCTGTTAAGGTTCCATTTTCCTGGTCTCCTGAAGTTGATCGGGCTTATGTTAGATTGAAGAACCTGTTTTGTTCTGCTCCGGTCCTGTGCCATCCTGATCCCGCAGCTCAGTTCGTGGTAGAAGTGGACGCCTCAGACACTGGTGTCGGAGCCGTTCTCTCTCAGCGCTCTACTTCTGATCAGAAGCTGCACCCCTGCGCGTTTTTCTCACGCCAGCTATCACCTGCTGAGAGAAACTATGACGTGGGAAACCGGGAGCTGCTGGCTATTCTTGCACTCAAGGAGTGGCGGCATTGGCTTGAGGGCACATCACAGCCGTTCCTGGTATGGTCTGACCACAAGAACCTCTCCTACCTTCGCTCTGCTCGTAGGCTTAATTCCCGTCAGGCTCGGTGGGCCCTCTTCCTGGGTCGCTTCAACTTTACTCTGACCTACAGACCAGGATCGAGGAATATTAAGCCCGATGCTTTGTCCCGCCAGTTCTCCGCTGTGACCACTTCTGACTCCAGTGAGGACACCATCCTACCCTCCTCGTGCGTGGTCGGAGCTGCCTCTTGGGACGTAGAGAGGGTGGTGCAGGAGGCCCAGGAGAACCTTCAGGTCCCAGCTGAGTGCCCATCTAGTCTCCTGTTTGCCTCCTTCTACCCGCTCTGTTGTGCTCCAATGGGGTCATGGCTCTAAGGTGGCCTGTCTCCCAGGGGTACATCGCACTCTCTCACTGATCAAGCAGCGCTTCTGGTGGCCGTCCATGACCACGGACACTAGGGAGTTTGTAATGGCCTGCTCTGTCTGTGCCCGCGGCAAGGCATCCCACCGCCCACCTGCCGGTTTGCTCCGTCCTCTGCCCATTCCACACCGTCCCTGGTCGCACATCGCGGTAGACTTTGTTACCGGTCTACCACCCTCTGAAGGAAACACTGCCATTTTGTCAATTGTGGACAGTTTCTCCAAGTCAGCACATTTTATTCCCCTCACTAAACTCCCCTCAGCTCTCGAAACGGCAAATCTCCTGGTTCTACATGTTTTCAGGCTACATGGGATTCCCCAAGACATTGTCTCCGACCGGGGTCCTCAGTTTTGTTCCCAGGTGTGGCGGGTTTTTTGCCGGGCAATCGGGGCGACCGCGAGTCTGTCATCGGGGTATCATCCTCAGACTAATGGCCAGACAGAGAGGGCTAACCAGGACCTTGAGGCTGCCCTTCGTTGTGTCTCAGCTGCTCATCCTGCTTCCTGGTCCACTTTTCTCCCCTGGATTGAGTATTCTCACAACACTCTGACCTCCTCCGCCACGGGTATGTCACCATTCATGGCCTGTTACGGTTATCAGCCTCCCCTGTTTCCAACTCAGGAGAAAGAAGTGAGTGTACCTTCGATCCAGTTCCACCTCAGGAGGGCACGCAGGATATGGCACGAGGTCCGGGCAGAGCGGAATCGCAGGCTGGCAGATCGTCGTCGCGTCCCTGCACCTGACTACAAGCCGGGGCAGCGGGTCTGGTTGTCTACCAGAGATATTCCCCTGCAGTGTGAGTCAAGGAAGCTCTCCCCAAGGTACATTGGTCCTTTTGAGATTGACTGTGTTCTTACCCCCACGGTGGTCAAGCTGAAGGTGCACCCCTCTTTTCACGTGTCCCTTCTTAAAGACCTTATGACGGGTTTGATTTATTTAGAAATACAGTTTTAATACCATTTTATATTAGAAGAGAACTACTAAAGGTTTCAAAATCAGTTGTTGTTTTTTTTGTCTGATCCCCCCCAAATCGAAATAACCCCATAGCAACGCCCTTAGAAACGAAAAAACTTCACAGCCCTTGGTGACGTCAGAACGGGTACGTTTCAATGCTGTAAGTTGTTTACAATTTGGTATTCGTTCTTTTTTCGCGGATATTCAAGATGACAAGGCCGTGTACAGCGAGTCTAAGATAATTACTAGAATGTATCATTTCGTCGTCACTGAGATAGTCCAGTGGTTGTGTCGATGGACTGCCAATCCAGATACTTGGATTCAAATCCCACCTCGGACACTTTTTCACACTCAAAACGGCAATTTATGTGTAGTGAGCAATTGTCACCTGTAGAGGGCAGTATTGTGTTGGGCATCAGTGGAGCGAAGAGAGAAAAGGCAGTCCTGTGGCATAGATCCATGGTTTTCAATGCATGGGCGTAACCCGCTATGACGTCACACACAGGTTAGAGCATAGACAACTTAAATTCATGAAAAACACGTTCTTTTTATAAAATATAGGATTTTTTTTGCCGGAATCTCTTTCAAATTGACATTGTCATGCAATTTTGATATCCACTATTTTTTTTTTTAAAACCCGTCATAAGGTCTTTAAGCCTGTCTCTCACAGCGACCTGAGCCCTCCGGCGGTTCCTCCTCCGCCCCCCCGGGTTATTGACGATCACCCGGCCTACACGGTGCGTGAGCTCTTGGACTGCACCGGGGCCGTGGTTTACAGTACCTGGTGGACTGGGAGGGGTATGGTCCTGAGGAGCGCTCGTGGGTGTCTCGCTCCTTGATCTTAGATCCTGATTTCCTGCGGGACTTCTATGCCCGGCATCCTGGCAAGCCCGGTGGGCCGCCGGGTGGCGGCCTTTGAGGGGGGGGGGTACTGTCATGATTCTGTTTTTGTTCTTTTCCCAGAGCATGTGTGAGACAGGGGGCGTGGCCGGTCTCTGCTGGGCTGCTGACGAGACACACCTGCATCCACTCACTCCACTCTACTCAGTATTTGAACCTGGTCTGCTCATCACTCCTCTGCCAGATAATTCCGTCATATCGGTAGTGCTGCACAGGTTTTTCTCTACCTACCTGCTTTTTGGATTACTTACCAGTTGCTATTCCAGATCCTGTGCTCGTCCAGTCCTTGTGTCTTCGCTCTGCTCTCCGGCCGGCCTGCTCCCTGTCTCCACTGCTCCTTTCATTTTGAGTATTTTTGTATTTTTGGTTAATTAAAGACTTTTGTTGAACTGGTTCGGCCTCCCTCTGCTTTGGGGTTCGAAAGCTCACCCAGAACATAAAGCCAAAGCCCAGTGGAATCTTTTACACAATGACGAGTGACAGAAGCATGGAGAGACCCCAAACCCACACCGTGCAGCGCAGTCCCACAGAACCATGTCTTATTATGGGTGTCAGAAGAAGAAAACAGATTTTGTATAGCACAAGTACATTCAAATCAACATGCTGAAACATAACTTTCAAACCACAAAAAAATTTAACAATGTAATAGAATCCAAATAAGAGTTTGGTGCATGTGGCCTATAATGTCTTCAGATCTGATTTTTTTATACAGAAAAAATAGATAAAGAGAGGACCCTCACTCAGCCAATCACAGCCAAATAGTGAAATAGTGACTCACAAAGAGTTTTACATGTATGCAAAATAGGGATGTAAATCGGCGACCGGTTAACCGGTGGACCGGTCAAAGCTGTCGGTTAAAAAAGAGAAAAAGGGGAGAGGGGAGGTCTCTTAATAACGCTATTTTAAGCCCTATTTGCACGGTGTGACGAGCGGGTCTGTATCTAGCTGTGTGCACCCATGTATTATAAACTCCGGGACGACTCTCACGCCGCACGAGCCACATATGCACACGCGCACGCGCGCGCGCACACACACACACACTTTCACCCTCTCCATACGTAACATCCACACGCATCATCTCTCCCCTCTGTTACCGTCAAAGTTGCACACTGGCGCGGGTCAGAACTACATTGGAGCTTACATTTACACACACACACATACATACACACACACACATACATACACACACACACATACATACACACACACATACCGGTCTGTCGCGCTCCTCTGTGTCACGGAGCCCAAAGGATTCGCGCAAATACGCGGCTCCAGTCAAACCACATAGAACATGTTTGTGTTTATGGTCCTCGGGATCAGCTCCACACACATCACTTGTATTTAAACTTTTGTGAAGACCTGTGAGACGCGGCTCGTCACTCGCTGCTCTGACCATGTGAACGAGCCGTCGTTTGCTGCTAGAAAGTGTTGGTATTAACCCGCAGCACAGCAGAATGGGAAGATTAAAAAAGCAGTTCTCTGTGCGCAAAGGTGCCGGAGCTGTTGCGGGTTTGGGCGCCGCTGTCTCAGCTCTGATCCAGTAGAACGCTCAGCTGCACTTATGAAAAGTACGCTGCTCGAAATGGCTGTTATTTCAAAGAACGTGGACTATTTTAAACTACGCGGTTAACCGGTTTCAACCGGTTAATGAGGCTCGGTGGTCGGTCATAAAAATTCATAGTTTTTTACATCCCTAATGCAAAACGTTTCTAATAACATTAAAACATTTGGTTGTGATCCAATTTCACAAGGCTCTGTTGGGACAAACATAACAAATAATGCAAAAAAGCAACGTTTAACGTACAGATTGGAAACAAATTGCAAATCCTCCAGTGGCCCCCAGTTAGTGTCCTGTGACCCTACTTTGGAAACCACTGGTCTAATAATAATTTACTTTTGACAAATGCATGCACTTATTTTGTAGAGAGAAATGTGAAGCAAACAAGTGTGAAGGATCAAGTTCGATGCATAGACATTCCTGTCTTTCTCTGTTTGAAATGTAGGTACCACAGCTTTAATCGCCACTTATAATAATCATATTCTAACATGATGACAGTGTAATTTCCTCTCTCTTTTGCATATTCTCTGGAGGTTACATCTAATACTTTTCTCAACAGCTCTTCAGTGGCTGCTGCTTTGAACCGTGCTCTCACATCCTGATTTTAGCTTCCCCTGTGCCCCTTCCCCACTACATGACTTTTATAGACTCCACCAGACACCCCTCCAGAAACCCTCCATCTAAAACATTTTATAAAAACCTGCGCTTGGCTGCTCGGCGTATCTCCATCGTGTCTCATTTCCTCCAAACAACACGCCTCCTACGCTCTGCCCATGTCTCCAATTGCTTCCCGGACCGGGCTGATTCCGTGGACCAGACTGGCCACCTGATTCCACTCCAGGCTCATATTAAACAGAAACCAGCTCTGTATAGCAGCAGTGTTCCGGGATTTGTCAACATGTTCTTTTATCTGGTGGGGAAAAACCAGACAACCTGTTATCTGCTCCCAGACGCCTTTAATGTACTGTTTTTGTTCATACAGTCAAAAGTCAAAAAACAACCAAACGTGTCTGAGAATATTGGTCTTTCTCATTGTCACATTTCTAGCTAAATATAAAAGCAAGCGATAAAAAATAAAAAACATAAAAAAACCCGCCCCCCCCCCATCCAAAATGGGCAAAAAAATATCATGAATTTGAGCATGAACCAACTAACTTAAAGAAGAAATATTATGCATTATTTTTGGCCATTTACATTGATTATGAGACTCTTCACTTTGCCATTTCATATTTTAGAATATGTAATATATCTACAGTAAATATGGTGAAATAAGTTAATACCCTGCCCTATCCCTATGCTACCACCAGTTATGTCAGAAATTGCCAAAACTCATTAGTGGGCAGTACTGCTCTAAGTGTGATGTCATAGTGGTACAATGACATCATACTATTACTGGACTGGGATAGGAGCTTTTTGAGAGAAGGGGCAGAGTTACATGTTTGCGCCAGGAGTTCCTCATATTATCTGGATCTAAACACAACTCCAGATCGTTTTTTGATGAGGAACAATCTTGCAACATGATGAAAGCTCAAACAAGACCATTTTCATAATAACTTTCCTCTCCTAAAAATGGTTTTAAAAAGTGCTCAAAGCTGGATTTAACACATTCTATTGACATCAGAATACAGAGGGTCAATAGCACCTCTGTTTATGAACTTTATGAACCACCTCGGTTCTGCATCGCGCGGCCTCGGTCCTCGTTCTACAGCCCTAGTCCTGGATCTACAGCCTGTCTGTCTGTGGAAGTGGCTCCCTCCGTGATGATCCATGGACCGATAGCTCTATCTGTTTTCGATCATACTACTGGGGGTGTTTCCTGTGCTAAAGGGCTAATGAAGGCACTACCCAGTGTCTTGTGCTAAAGGCCGTATGAAGGAAGCCCAGAAGTTCTTTTCATTACTGTTTCTTTGATGTGATTTCCCTACTTGGAGTTTGTGTGCTCTCTTCCTGTCTGTGTAGGTTTCCTCCAGGTGCTCCGCTTTCCCATACCACTAAAAAGACACACAATAGGTCTGGTATGCGTCTCCTGTATGGTGACGCATGTTCCTTGTGCGTACTTCAGTTATGTTTGTTGTGGGCATTTGTGAGAGACAAATGCCCACAATTGTGCCTTGTGACTCTGGTCTGTGAAAGGTGCTATATAAATAAAGATTACTTACTTACTTACTACGTGGATACTCCTTGTCATGGCGGATGGAACACCGGATTCCGGGTCAAAGACGTATTTGGACAGAGCACTGGTCTCCGGTCTTGTTCATTCAGCTTTAATCCTTAGAATGTAAATTCATCACCTTGATGTTTCGACCCAGAAACATAGCAATATAACATAATATAGATTATGACCTCATTCTGTCAGACATTAAACAACTTCTGCCTAATGTTGCATGGTCATTAAGATATCATACGCTAAGAAGACCCAGGCCCCAGATAAAAAATATATATATTTCTACCAACAAGTCTGCATTGCATAGTCTCTCCACAAAGTTGAACAAAAAGTTGAGAAAAACAACATTATGACTTCTGTATCCTCAAATAATGCCTGCCTGAGTAGTTTTTATGACAATTCATTCCCAGCTCCAGAGTTTTTGAGAGCACTGAGGCGTCACTCACTAAATCATGCACTCAACACGGCGGCTGAGGTGTGGGGAGCTGCATTTGCATTGAGATGATGCAGATAGTCGCGCCGCCGATAAAAAGAAGGTAAAAAACAATGAGGCTCTTTGTATTCAGTCAGGCTGTATAACGAGGACAGGACAGAGCACCACAGGCAGCAGCACAGTTTCAAGAAGAGAAGGTGCAGCCTGGACAGTGTTGGGGAAAACACATTGAAAAAGTTATGAGAAACATAGTTACTTTTAAAGGGGACATCACCCAATTCTGTTTTCTATAATATGATAAGATTTTCATTCATTCTTCAATTAATTATTTTTAATCGAAGAATGTTTTGTAGCGTTCTTGAATGAAAAAGCTGGACGTTTGGCAAAAATTTGGAGTATTTCTCAATCCACTGCAGATGACCCCTCTTTATTAAATCTGTGGTTCATATGAAGTGTTTACATTGAGCTAAAACAATGTTGCGATGCAATTATGCATTTTTCTTTCAAACGAGGCAGCATGGTGTGCTTGACTCCTTCACGTATCATGGATTCAGTTAGTAAAACCCGGACGAAGGGCTAAGTTCTGGACGGGGGAGGAGGGAAATGTGGTGGTCAGAGGCGGGGGATGAAAGCAATAGCAGCAAATGAGAATATAAATAATTCAAACTCACTAAAAACTGTGTTGTGTGTAAAATAACAAGGGGATACAACTATAACATGGAAATGATGAGGAATGTCACCGTTTTGGTTATGTCCCCTTTGAAGATAAAAAAATATATACTGCCTGTGGTGTCTGTCTGCCATAGAATGATGACATGTGGTTCATTAGTGTCATTTGTATTTATTTTCAAAATCAAAATGCAAACGTAAGAACACGCACGCACACACAGACACACACAGAAGCTACGTCAATGAAACTCATAATCCACTGCTGGCAAGTCAGCGGGTGAGCTGAGCAAGCGGTTTTCATCTTGTGGCAAACATTTATTTGGTGACTGTCAAGAGAACCCTTCCATTCGCCTTGTGAAAGCGGAAGCTGAAGATTGTCTTTTGGCAGGATAGATATCCCAGCTTCATTATTCAACTATGGAATTTGAAAGATAAACCCACTGGACATATTCACATTCAGGTGAGGCAGGCCTGGTGCACAGCAGATGGTGTCAAGTAAAGAATTGTGAAAAACTGCAGCTCGAAAGTCATTAAAGCTTGGCTCTGTGGGTCAAGAGCTGTCTGCCAAAAACTGAGCACATAAGCACTCCCTGGGAAACTCGTGTGAATCATGCGTCTTCATATGAAACGCTTCCAACGGGGCTAAACTAAATTACAGCTGAAATAAATTTTAATAAAAGAATGTTGGTATTTGTGGCCTTCTTCTTGAATGGAAAAGCTGGATTGTTTGGCGAAAATGTGGAGCTTTTATTAGTCCACTGCAGATGGCAAAGATTGTGGTCACATCCCAGGGTCCTTCATGAAAAGCTTTGTCTGCACCAATCAGGAACACAAACACATACCCGCACCTTCTGTCTGAATGCTCGTATCTCAAACTGCTTACACCATTACAGTTTAAAGCACATTACATACAAATGTTACTCAATGTGCTGAACAATAGCTGAGACAGCACACCATATCACAATTAAAGAAAGGGACTCCACTATCAGATTCAGATTCATTTTATTTGCCATTTGCTGTAAAAACAACACATTGGAATATATTAGCAAAAGTCTCCAGTGTGCACAGACAAATACAGACATAAAACATCAAAAGTAAAGAAAAAAAACAAATAAAACAGACAAGTGTCACTGTGAAATCGATCGACTCTAACAGTATCAATACAAAGAGCAAGAACATTAAAGTGCTCTGTTCAAACAGATAACAGCTTATGGGAAGAAGCTGTTAGCATGTCGAGATGTCCTGCATCTCAGAGAGCGATATCTTCTGCCAGAGGGAAGAAGCTGGAACATGGCTTGTCATTGACAATCCTAAGAGCTTTGTTTAAAAGTCTGGATTTATAAAGAACCTCCTGAACAGGAAGCTCACAGCCCACGGTCCTCTTTGCAACTGGACTTGCTACTGTCTTTGCGATCTACTACATGTTCAACCTGCAGTATCAGGAAGAGGCAGGCTGCACCCTGGAAGTCATTCGGAGGTAAAATACCTTCTTTCAATATACAATAAATCAATGGTTTTATATTTTGCAAGCAATGGTATAAACATTGTAAACATGCAGTGGGTGGGAGGTGTTTTCCATGGTTGAGTTTTACTCAACCTTTCTGTCCCTCACCTCCTCCACAGAGTCCAGGGGGCAGCCCAGAGCGGAGCTGGCCCTCCTGACCAGCTTGCTGAGTCTACTCCTGTCCTGTTCTGTGCTGCCCAGGGCCCAGCACACGGCAGCGTAGTGTATGGCAGAGGCTATAACAGAGTCATAAAAAGTCCTGAGCAGAGACCTGCTACTGTATCTCCTGAGGACCTCAGCCTCCTCAGAAGGCGGAGGCGACTTTGACCCTTCTTGAATAGGACTGGTCAAGTTTGTTGTTAATGTGAACAGTGTAATTTTAGAGTAATCACATTAAAACCAGCCGCAGCAAATACACGGACGTAAAAGGCCTTTTCAATGCAGAGACGACCTTCTGACGCCATGCTGAGCTTTGTGAAGGTCCCTGCTGTCTGTCACACCCTTGTGTCTTTCGCATCTCGCATCTGTATGCTTGCATTTCTACCATTGTCTGTCTGTTCGCACCTCCATGCCCTGTGTCTGATTGCCTCACCACAGGACATGGCGCCTGCGCTCCCTATGCGCCTCCTTCACCGGTGGCCCCCTCCCATCTGTTGTGGGCGTGACGGTCTTTCTATGTAAACAGGAAGCCTGAGCTCTGCGAGCCAGAGCTGGGTATGCTGCCTTTTGGATATGCTAGCTCTCCGCACGTGTGTTACAATAAACTTACGCTCCTGATTTAAGACAAATACTTTTGGGCTTTCTCCTTGCTTTGGGGTATGTAATTCTATAACAATTTGGCGTTGCTGACATGTCTTGGCATGGATACTTTCGGCGGGGACGAGCGGCCGCGTTTGGCCGACCTGGAAACAACACCAGCCTCTGCTCTATTTGGAGACAAAGGAGGGCGCGCTCGTCCGCGCATGGAAGGATTCTTTGGCCACACAAGACCAAAAAGAACCTAACTTGGTGAGTTTTGTCTTTTCATCTGCGTAACGAGCACTTAAGTGTACACGGGGATTTGTTTATTTATGTATT